TTGTGAAATGAATTTGGGTATGAAATTTTGATATTATGTTTTTTATAATGTCGATGTCATTACTTGTCTATTGTGATTTTTGATTGGTGTTTGATGATTCTACCTAATTGAAAATAAAGCAAGTATTGAAAAAAATATATATTATTTTGCTAACATCTTAGTTTGTTGTATACATCTAGTAAATTTCATTAATTGAAAATAAATTTGTAGTTGTAGATGTTAACTAGTCATGTGAAAAAATTATTTTATTTATTGTCTTATTTTACTCGTACATTTAGATCATATATTGTTATAGGCGAACTAATAATTCTTTATCTCGTGATAATATACATTTATTGTTAATTTTTTATTTTGTTGAGCTTTAAAGACAATAAACTTATTTCTATGTCGACCCTCCGTTCGTGTGATAGCATTGCCCTTGAAAAAAAAATAATAATGAAATTATCACTACCATGTGGATAATCGGAGATACCAAGATCATGTTTGATGAAAAATAAATATTATTTTTTGCTAATATATTTTATGTGCATATTTATGAGATTATTTACATATTGATTCGTAGTGTATTTTGTAACTTACGGTTACCTATCAAATATTATTATTCAAGGTCAATAATATTAATATTTTTGAAAATTAATATTGATCTATTTTTTTTAATTTTATGGTTGATAAAAAAAAGAATTGATCTATAAACTTATTTATATTGATTAATTATAATGATTGACATTGAAATTATTTGTTATATTGATGTCATGTTATTGAGATAAATGAGAAGTCAATGAAAAAAATATATCCAATATTTTTATACAAATATATTGATCATCTTGGATGCAAAGTCAAGAAATTTTTTTATTTATTTATTTATTTTTTTTTTTGTTTTTGTTTTTTTTTGTTTTTTTTGTTTTTTTTTTTGCATTGGAGGCAATGGAAGCTTCGTCAATAAAAAAAAAAAAAAGTATTTCAAATCTTCAACGGTACTTACTATTAGACAATAAGTATAAAAAGTCAAGTAAGTATTCTAAATGTCAAATTATTAAAGTTTTTTTTTATTGTTAATACCTATATATTTAAGATTGATAACTTTTGATGATCAAAACATGTGATACTTATATTTAAAAGTAATTTTAAACTCTTTTATGAATATTTATTAGTCTATACTTGAGTTATTTACTTTATAAGTCATGATAAAAAAGAAAAAACAAAGGGAGAAATGTGAATTGTCATATAAATTTTTATTATTGAATTCATGTTGGTTCACATGATTAATTTATTATGACTTGAAAGGTCACATATTAATTTAATTAAAATGAATTGTGTTTTGAATACTAATTATTTTTATGTGACTCGTGCTGAAATTGTTTGACACTCTTACCTAATTGTGGTAATAAAAACAAGGCTTAATGTATCAAAAAATCACGAACTATACACTTTTTAATATTTTAGCTCATTCTTTAAAAATTGTATAAAAAATTCATCAACTAAGTCTTCGATGACAATACTAGCACCTATCCGATTTTTTGATCAAAATTTCGATCAACACCGATATGACGAGTTCATGTAAGCATGACATAAGGACTTTAACAAGCCATATAGGATCCATGTAAGTAGTGATGTGGAAAATCAATTACTTGGATCATACGTGGCTAGCTAAAGTCCACGTGTCAAGCTTGCATGGATCCTAGGTGGCTTGATAAAGTCCACGTATCTTGCTTCATCACCTGCTAGGTCGGCGTTAATCAAAATTTTGGTTGAAAAATCATATTAGTGCTAGTATTGTTATCGGATGCTTAGTTAGTGACCTTTTTATATAATTTTTAAAGAATAAGCTAAAATAATTAAAATATGTATAGTTTGTGATTTTCCGTAACTCTAAGCCTAAAAACAAATGTGAAAATAATAACCTTTTTAGCATATTACTACTAAAATAAAGGTTCATGATTTAATAAAGGGTTATTTTACATATTATTCTCTATTTGAAAATAAAAATTTAATATATTATTTTATTTTAAAAAATATATCTTGTTGATTGTTTAGCCACAAGAATAAATTATAAATGCCGATGAAGAAATAATAGAATAATGCATGTCATGACTTTGTCTACACTAATAGCAAGAAAATTATTTATTATGTGAATAGTGAGGGCATAAAAAAAATGCTATTGCATTAAAAAAAGTTTGAGAAAATTATTATGTAATTCAAGATAAATTATCATAATTCTCTCAGGATGATAAATTATATAATTTTTCTCATGATGTTTGAGTTATTTGCCACATATAAATTTTTAATATGATGCTATTGGAAATATTTATAAAAGCATTCATATTATACAAATGGTATACTCGATGCTTATAAAATATTTAGTAAAAGCATTCCTATTATACCAAAGGTATAATGATACTTATGGAATATTTGGAAAAAAATGTTGAGAGAATTGATGGAATTAGTGACACTCCTATTATACAATTAAGGTACAATAGTGTTTTGATGATATTATCGAAAAGAAAAATTAGAGACACTCCTATTATATAATTAAGATATAATGGTGTTATGATGACATTGTCTAATAAGACAATTGATGATATTTTGAGAAACTTAAATCTCTAATTAAATATTGATATTCCTATTATATAGGTGAAATACATTGATGACAAATTTGTATGAGAAACTAGATATCGAAAAATTTCCTATTCACTTCAATGTGATTATACTAAATATTTTTCATTATATTAGAAAAATACAATGATGCCATCATAGCACAATGACAAGTGATGTGAAAAATAAATATGATTACAATTAACTCATGTATGTGTGGCGAAACTTAAATTGGCTAAAAAGCTAAAACCAATAAAAAAAAAGTGGATGCCAATGAAAAAAATAAGAGGATGTTATGCTTTGTCTAAAGAAAAAATAGTAAGGATGAAAAAAATCATACCATTTGTCTTAACACTAATAAATTGATTAAGTGTTAGTTCCTAATCTTTTGGGTTTATAGTGAATATTGTGGGAGCAAATCTTTAACTAAAGTAAAAGGATTGGATGACACATCGAGAGGGATAAGACTAAGCCCATAAATGAATAAAATCACATATATGGATACTCTACGTAAGGACTAGAGATCCCAAGAACTAGGTTTAAGGAGAATAATAAGCATAGAGTGGTTTGATTACATGTATAATATATTTGAGTTATGATACTCATATGTCTATCCCTATGGTGTAGAACCATAACAAAAAGAAGGTTAAGTTTCTTTAAATAAAACTTTTAATGTGGTCTATAATTCTTTTTGAATGAGATGTTAGAGTTATGAAAACATTTTTGATAGACACACTTTATGAGTGTAGAAGTGCAATCGCTTCTTGTTAGAATCGAGCTAATTATCTATAACACTTATATAAGTCGGGATCAACCACAAAACCATTAATGTGATGGTTCTAAAACTTATTATAAAGTACCTAAATATAATATGTGTCATACAATATTTGTTTTACTTAAAAAACGCTTAGTTTAAGGCAATATTCACTATTAGTTTAAGAGAAATGTTGTTGAAACACAAAGTAAGGGTTCAAGTTATTAGAATCTTTATTATGTATTATATTTATTTTCTTACCCAAAGGATATGAATTATATTTTATAAAAAATAAGTGAGGGATTGTTAGAATATTTTTTTATTAAAGTCATAAAAGTATACTTTAATATACCGATATCTTTATAATACATGAGTTGTAAACGTAATTGAACAATTTAAATTCAAAAACATATTTTTTAATAAAACTACTCGACACTTTGTGAATCAATAATGTGATCTGAATCAATTAACTAGAATGATTAATGCTATATCTTATATTCTTAATAAAATATAGCTTGTCTCTAATCTTTCTATTCCCGATTTCTTGAGATTCTATATTATATGCACAGAGACTAACCTTATGTGATATGAAATAGTGGCACATGATCTAAGAAGACACATTTATAGTTTAAACTTCAAATTTTAGTTTGGAGGTTCTGAATTCAAATCTCTATTATTATTATTATTATTATTGATTAACAAGTAGTTAGTTGTTAATGGTGATTGTTTAGGGACCAACTTGACCATCACAAAAGTTGAGCGGCTATACTACCATTTCAAAAGAATGAGATACTGAGACAGCCCGAATCTCCTTGGAATCCCAGTTGGCTAATTTAGATTTGGAAGAGTTCATGCATGAAGTGGAAGAAGAGCAAATCCATAAATAATCTAGTCTAAAATCTTAGGAGCACAAATAAACAATAAAATAAATAAATAACACATCTTGCACAAACAAATAAAAAGTGTTTTAGTTGACTATGTGATTTCAACTAATTTAGCTAGTAAAATAGTTTCAGCATCGATCATCTTAACTGTCAAGTGATTTAAAATTAAATCTTGCCAGTACTTGGAACAAAAATATAATTAATATTATAAAATAATAAACATCTATATAAATATTTATATTTATTTAATATTCTCAATACTCATAATTTTTTTTATTTTTAATGTGATTTAATTCATCTTTTAATATGAGAAATTAAAAAAATAATGCATTTGATTCTACTTTTTAAGTATTTTTTAATTGTTAATAGTCCATTTTAATTCTTTTTTTTAATCTTAAAATTCATAAATGCAGTTGATTGTTTATTAACTGGTGGAGTAGAGTTTTGATAGAAAGCAAGAGAGTTATTCTAGAATTGTTATTACTTTTATTTACTTTCTCTCACAATCAGTATATTTTTCTTCATCTTTTTTCTTCAACTATTTTACTATTATTATAATATTTTTTTAAAATTATTATTATTTTTCAACAATTAAGAAGATAAAAGGAGGTTTTAATTGGATTGTTCAATACTCAATAATGATTTTGGACAATTTAATTAGGGGCACCAGCCAAGGGAAAGATGGTAACACAGTACTCAGATCGGATTGAAAGAAACTTGTTGGGCCTTATGCCCTCAAAATTAGAATGCGCAGAATCAAAACTTCACCTATGGGCTACGGTACTTTCAATTTTGAGCTTTTGCAAACCCAATTATCTTCAAAGAATGGGCCCTTTTTTTAAGTTCTTGTTTGAATTAGCAAAAGATCTATAGTAAACTTTTTCAATCCACGTGTTCTTAGCTAGTTTATTAATTAATCCATTTAATTCAAAAAGCTCATTATTGATTCCTTATATTTTATATTTCAGAAATTAATTTGAGAATTCGGCAGTTTTTCATGACAATTTATTTTTTCCTTTCTAAAATATCCTTTATTACTAATTAAAATTTCATAATACCAAAAGCGTATTTTAAAGGGTGAATTCAAACATTTAAAAAAGAATATGCCTTTCAAAACCAAAAAGATTAACATACGAAACCATTAAAAACAGGGACTAAATTACAATTTATACTTAGCTACATCTGACTTGGTTGGAACCTTTGACACTTGGGCACCAAGAAAAAGAGTCAAAATCCAGAAGGCACGTACAGACGAATTGTCGTCGACACATAAAACCTAAACCGACTTTAAAATAAAGGACAGCACACGCTCTATAAAAGCCCTAATTGGCAAAATTTTCTTTGCAAATTACTCTCTTTTTCCCCACTTACCAAGCAGCCTCTCCCTCTCTTTCTCTTCCTCTCTACAAGCAGCAGAGAGCAACAGCAATATCAAGTTTTTTAGCAATCATGGCAACTAGTAAGTGCCTTTCCTTCTTTTTATTGTTTATTTTTTCCAAAACAAAGTTCATGTTTCTAGCTTTTAGTATCTATAACCCCATTATTTGTACTTTGTTGTTTTAATGAAATGATGATTTATTTATGTGTTTTCTGTGATTTCTTGATGTGGGTTAGGGCTTATGTTTGAGAATTCATGTGAAGTTGGTGTCTTTTCAAAACTCACTAATGCTTATTGTTTGGTTGCCATTGGAGGTTCTGAGAGCTTTTATAGGTAATTCAAGATAATTTTTTATATATAACATACTTACATAATTAGTTTGTTAGTTAAAGATTAGAAAAAACAAGAATAGGAGTATCAGATTTTCTTTTTATATTGGTAATGTGATTCTATTATTCTGTTGTGCGCAGCACATTTGAAGCTGAATTAGGAGATGTTATTCCTGTTGTTAAAACTGCCATTGGAGGAACTAGAATCATTGGTAGACTTTGTGCAGGTAAAGGGTTTTGTCTGCTTGTTATATTGCCCTCTTAATGGTTTTATTTTACTAATGTCACACAAAGAAATGTGATTTATGTTATTGATTTCGTTTTAATGCTTAGGAAACAAAAATGGACTTCTATTGCCCCATACTACTACTGATCAAGGTAAGTATTACAGTTGTGAAAATATTGTTATGGTGGTTAAGGTAATTGCATAAGATGCCAAGTTGATCCTTTACTGATTTCTTGTCATTGTTGTTTTAGAACTTCAACACTTGAGAAACAGTCTACCTGATCAAGTTGTGGTTCAGCGAATTGATGAGAGATTGTCAGCCTTGGGAAATTGTGTAGCTTGTAATGACCATGTTGCTCTAACCCACACTGACCTTGACAAGGTATTTTTAGCTTTTCCTTTGAATTCATTTCTTATTACCTATTTATATGTTTTTGATATTATCTTAGTGACAATTGATTTGTTCTGATTACTTTATATTCTAGCATCCCTTTAGAAGTTTGTTTGTGCTGTCTGCTTGTTGTAAATTTTCTGTAATAACAATTATATTCTAAATGTTGATATGCTTGTCCTATTATTTATTATTTTGATCAGGAAACGGAGGAAATGATTGCTGATGTTCTTGGAGTAGAAGTGTTTAGGCAGACAGTTGCTGGTAATGTTCTTGTGGGCAGCTACTGTGCTTTCTCCAATAGAGGTGGCTTGGTAAGGTTTTTATATACTTGGTTTATGCTTATTCAGGCAACTAGCTGTGAAATGTCCAAATATGCTTATCATGTTCCGAACCGATCACTTTGTGCTGCAGGTCCATCCCCATACATCCATTGAAGACTTGGATGAACTTTCAACCCTCCTTCAGGTGCCTTTAGTGGCTGGAACCATAAACCGTGGCAGTGAAGTGATAGCTGCTGGCTTGACTGTGAATGACTGGACTGCATTTTGTGGGTCAGATACTACTGCTACTGAACTTTCAGTCATTGAGAGTGTTTTCAAGTTGAGGGAAGCTCAGCCAAATGCCATAGTGAATGAGATGAGGAACTCTTTGATCGACAGCTATGTATGAGCCAGTTATGCTGGCCTACTGTCAGATATGTTAATGGTGCTATTTTGTCGTATAAAGCTGAATTGCTTGATCTTCCGTGTTGAAAGTATGTTGATGCACGCATCACATGTTTTGTTATGAAAGATCAAGTTTGGTATTTGAAATTTTTTTCACTGCTTTTGGCATGGCGATTCATGTCTGTTTATGTTTGAAATACTATTTTTGACTGATGAAACAAGCACTAGCTCAGTTATTTCATTTTGTTTCTTTTAAATATGAAGAACAAAAATGGATACTGGAAGTTGGCTTACTGCTGCTGGTTTTGTATTATCAATTTTGTTGGATTGCTAAGAAACATGGCTCAATACTGTTGATTTGTTTTACAACCGAATGCTCGGTTATTTGGGATTTTTCCCTTGCATGCTGGCAGTATGCTACATGCTCTAGCATGGTTATGGTCAAATTTGAAGCTGTCATAAAGCCAGTTCATATCATTAGTTGAAATTTTGAGAATAGTAGTTACTAGCTAAGAACCTTGGATCTGAACGAAGGCGTTTTTTGATCTTAAATTTCATGTCTGAAACTGTATTACATACATAGGTGTTTCTATGTTCATATGCATGAACAAGGTTATTACATCTGCCTGTGAATGTGTTCAGGGGCTTACAAATGTCCCCATGCTATGAAACTAGGCTTTCAAATCCAGAGCAGGATTTAATGCTTGACGTATAAATTCTGCATCTTACGAGGGTCCGACAATTTTATCTGTTGAATGATTTAAATTTGGAAGATACCTCTGCTTGTGAGGCGGTCAGTTAGTTGATGTATGAAAGTTCACACATTTAGTATTAAATTAGCTAATATACCATCATTTTATTAACAGAAGCAGAAAATTTCGATTAATGGAATCCAATTTACTGATACATGGGGTTTCTATTTCTAAAATTAAAAAGAGAAGGACAAAAACAAAAAAAGCTGTTTCCCTTGTCTATAAACCCATATAGTTGGGCTGCCAAATCTTTTGGGCTGCTGGCCCAATGTATATTTTTTTGAACCGTGGTATTCATCTCGTTTTTTTCCGGACAACAAAGAGAAGTCTATTATTGTAGGTAACAGCCCAATTTACAAAGGCAGGTTGCCTAGATACAATAAAGGACTTTGTCAAAAAGTATACAACAATAATTTGACGCCTCAAAACCGGAGACTTGGTGCTAACACTTTCCTGGGGCTCAAAACACGGAAGCACAAAGCTCTTCTATTTATACCATTTTATTGCGGATACTGACACTACAAAGTGAAACACGGTATTGACATACAATGGCAGGAAATATTCAAATTCCTACGTACCATGGCAGGACAGACATGCATGGTAGATTTTAATTTTATGATGCTAGGTTGCCAGCAGAAGTTGAATTAAAACTTGCAAAACCTTGCAACAAAAAAATGTAGTTGCTGAAGCGGTTAGTAATCCTGCCGCCAAAAGTTTGATCACAGGGCATCAAAATGCTGCCATCTAAGAGTTGTTCGAGTTCAACCAATGAAGCCAAAACAGATTAGGTGCTTCTCTGTTTCTTTGAATAGGAAAACTATCTGTCAACTGCAGCTAAATAGACATGGTAGTTGCATTATGTCACTCCATTAGCCTTGTCTGCTCCATCTACTTCTTCGTCAGTCTTAACTTCTCCGCTGGTAGGCCTGCAAGATTCCAGTGCAAAATTCAAATCATAATCTTAAAACATTTTCATACATGGTCTCAGCAACATGGCTGATTAGGTAGCAAATGGATTTCAATTTGATTCAGAAATACAATTCTCAGTCTGGTATCGTCAACCCTAAACTGCATTTAGCCAATAACTTCTTAACTCTATTTACCTATGCATGACAGTGTGTGTGTGTGCGCACACGCACGCTCATCTAAAAGAAAACATCTGCAGATTAGTTGTCGCATCTTGAAGAGTTGATTTGGAGGGTCCCTAAATGACCAACAATCTATAATGAAGAGGTATAGGAGATAGATACAAGAGAAAATAGGCATCTCAAGCAAAAGATGAGAGCACAGGAGATCACGCGTTACACATCATTGTTAATTCAACCCTGGGCACACACCTTATCCAGGCAACACACAAGTCCGAGCCTCAGCAGTGTCTGATATGACCATAAGCTTCCCTCTAATCAGACATATCTAGCATACACTAGACCAGAAGCCTCTCCAGATACGTGCTATGACTGTGCATAGAGCAAAGAAGCAAAAAAGTGCAAATGCTGGCTGCATGGATTTATTAAACGCCCTAAGGGTCTGTGACATTTATATTTGGGTTGCTTTTAGGGTTAATAGTTAGTACAATAAATAGCTAATGACATGGCATTTAGTTAGTATAAGTTTCTTTAATGAGCTGACAATTATGGTTAGATGGTCGATAGAAGAATTACTTGGATTCCTTTAAAAGGGCGAGAGAAGGAAAAAGAGATTCAATCACTTGTTAAACTAAAAACAGAAATAAAATAGAAATTCTCCTCTCAATCCTCTTCTTCTTCCTCCTCTGTCTCAATCTTCTTCCAGTTCGTCCTTTTTAAGCAATAACACTTAACAAATTGGTATCAGAGCTCGCCTGGAACCAACAAATCTTCAATCATGGTGGATAACAATCGTATGTGAGTATTAGAAGAGCAAAATAGGAAGCATGATGAATAGTTACAAAGTTTGCGGCAAGAATTTCGAGAAAATGTGGAGGTGATCAAGAAAAAATTGGAGGAGCAAATGCAATAGGTGCAGCTTCAAATTGAAGCCTTGATGAAGTCAATCAAATCAGTCATGGCTGATAAGGAACTAGAGAAGGAGCTGACATCATCTTCGAGTTTCTCACATGGAGTAAATGTGGCTCCAAAACCTGTTCATCACACCAATCAGGGTGAGTCATTACGAACACCAGAATTTGTGAAATCAAGTTATAATTCCTCCATTTCGAGAGTGAACTTGCAAATGTTTGGGGGAGAAAATCCGAGAGGCTGGGTTCGAAGATGTAAGAAATTCTTTAACATGAATTTCATTCTAGTACATTAGTGGGTAGAGATTGCTTCCATGTATCTTGAAGGACGAGCAGAAATTTGGTCTGAAGGATTTATAGTGGAAAGTGATCTTGGTAATTGGGAAGAATTTGTTGTGGTGTTGTAGAGAAGGTTTGACAGCATGGAAGATGTGGAAGAGTTTAATAAGCTCAATCAGGAGATGGACGTAGAACAGCATATTGAAAAATTTGAGGAACTCAAATCCTTGATGACTGCAAACGATCCACATTTGCTTGAATCCTATTTTGTTTCTAGCTTTATTAGCAGACTCATGGAAGATATCAAGCCTATGCTGAAGATTTGAAACCTACTAACTTAACACAAGCCTTTGACCAAGCAAAATGGCAAGAGGAGCCTTTGACCAAGCAAAATGGCAAGAGGAATCTATGAATGCGATGGCCGAAAAGCCTAGAAATCCTCCAAGTAGCTTCTCGATACCCACCTATACTACCACAAAACCTTATTCAACATGATATCCCCCCTATAATGCAAAGAAGCCACACTATAAACCATATATCCCTTCAATTAAAAATGAAAACAACAATCCACCTAAGCCTGTAAACACCAACCTACCACAAACACAACCAGACAGTTGCAGGATCAGAGGAGGAGGATGGGATTGTGTTTTAGATGTAGGGAGAAATACTCTCCTGGCCATCAATGTGATAGAAGAATGTTGCTTGTGTTAGAAGGAGTGAAAGGGGGAGTGATGAAATTGTGGATTTGAAAGAGGAAAATGTAATAGAGTGTGTGATTGATTAAAGAAGTTATGAAGAACTGGGATTGTCCTTGCAAGCTTTAGTTGGAAAGTATGGGAACAATACCATTAAGATCAAAGGTAGCTGCAACAAGAAGGAGACTGAAGCCTTAATGACAATGGAAGCACTCATAGCTTCATTAATCCGAGAGTAGTGAAGAAGATCAAGGCTGAGGTAGAAAAGACTACCCCTCTATCAATGACAGTAGCAAATGGTGTTGTGATGAAGTGTAAGTAAATTATAAATTAGTCCATCTAGCTTCAAGAAACAAATTAATTAGTCCCTCTCATTTCAAAAATTATTATTTAGTTGATTAATCAATGTTGAACATGCTTAATTTAATATTATTTTTATTTCATGAAATCTCTTATTTTCTCATCAATCTTTTTATACTTTTGTCTTTTTCTATTTCTTCAAAAAAAAAAAAAAAAAAAAAAAAAAATCAAAATAAATTAAAAATGAGCAAAGAGGACTAAATTAGAAATAGATTGCTACACATAAGGAATAAATAATTAGTTTTTAAAATGATAGGAGCTAATTAATTCGTTTCTCAAAATGAGAGGGACGAATTTATAATATACTCAATGAAGTGTCTAGCCAAAATTCCAGGGCTTGCATGGTTTATGCAAGAGCACGAATTTAAGACTGATTTGAGGTCCTTAGAACTGGAAGGTTATGATATGGTGCTAGGGGTTGATTGGCTCTAGAAATACTCTCTAGTTTTGTTTGATTTTATCAATATGACACTATCATTTAAGAAGGATGGAAAGGCAATTGAGCTTAAAGGAACAGTTGAGGTTGTCAAGCTGCAACAATTAACAGCAGACAAGGTGCATAAGACACTGAAATCTGCAGTATGTGGATTTGTGGGGCAAATGTTTTCCATTGCTACTTGAACTGAATCAGAACTAATAACTAAGGAGATTAAGGCACTACTGCTTCAATATGCAGGGGCTTTTGCAGAACCAAAAACACTGCCACTAGTGAGGAGGTTCGATCACAAGATGTCCTTGATTCTTGAGGCTAAACCAGTCAACCTTCGACCGTATAGAAGCTCCTATGTGCACAAAGAAAAAATTGAGAAATTCGTTAAAGAAATGTTGCAGAATGGGGTCATCCATCAAAGTTGCATTCCATTCGCATCAGCTGTTTTGTTGGTCAAAGAGGAAACCTGGAGGTTGTGCTGACTATCGATAGCTTAACCACATCACTATCAAAAACAAATTCCCCATTCCCTTGATTGATGATCTACTGGATGAATAACAAGGGTCAGATTTCTTTTCAAAAACTGACTTAAGGGTTGGATATCATTAGGCATGAGGCTAACAATGAGAAGGCAAGTTTTGGGAATTACCAGGGCCACTACAAACTCAAGGTCATTCCCTTTGGATTGACCAACGCACCAGCAACAATCCAAGCCATATTTGAGAAAATTTATCTTGGTGTTCTTCGACGACAGCCTAATTTACAGCCATACCCTAGAAATACATATTCTTGCAAGGATGGTAGAAGTTCTCCTAAAAAACAAATTGTTTGCAAGAGGTAAAAATGCTCATTTGGCCAGACTAGTGTTGAGTATTTGGCTCATATTGTATAAGGAGCTGGGGTGGCAACTGATCCAAAAAAGACTGAGGCAGTAAGCAAATGGCCAACCCCTCAATCTGTCGAAGAGGATTCTTGGGTCTAGCAGGGTAATATAGAAAGTTTATTCGCAACTATGGGTTGATCAGCAAACCATTAACCACTTTGCTGAAGAAAAATAATTTTCATTGGAGTGAACCAGCTCAGCAAGCTTTTGAACAATTTAAGATTATGTTGTGCAAAGCTTCAATTTTAGATCTGCCAAATTTCCACAAACCATTTGTATTGGAAACTGATGCAAGTACTTGGGGAGTTGGGGCAGTACCACCTCAGGAAGGTCAACAATTAGCCTTTTCCAGAAAAGCTTTGTGACCTAAGCACCTGGGAATGTCCATTTATGAGAAAGAATACTTAGTCATTCTAATGGCAATGGATAAATAAAGGCATTACCTGAAAGCTAGCAAGTTTATTATTAAAACTGACCATGAGAGCTTGAAGTATCTTTTGGAAGAAAAGATTTCCAAAAGATACACTCCAATTCGAAGGAAAGGGCTTACCACACTGCTTGGGTTGGCTTATGAAATCCAGTACAGAAAGGGCAAGGACAAATTGGTGGCTGATGCGTTATCTAGAAGACTTCCTAATTCTTATGAAGTTTCTGGGTCGAGAAGGCACCCTCAATGGCGTTAGCATTGTGCAACCAGCTTGGCATCAGGACATCCTGAATTCTTATAAACAAGACACCAAGGCCAAAGAGATTATCGCTGCCAAAAGATTGCAGGATGATGTCTTTCCTCAATTCTCTTGTGATGATTATATATCAAGGTACAAGAACAAAGTCTTCATTGGGAATGATCACACACTTGGGAGGAAATTACTAGAAATTGCTCGCCAATCAACTATTAGGGGGCATGCCAGGGTACAAAACTCTTATAGAAGGCTTAAGCACCAATGAAGTCCATGGTGAAGACTTTTGTGGCTGAATATGATATTTGTAAATAAGCCAAACCAAAGAGAGTGGCTTACCCCTGATTACTGCAACCACTACCCATCCCAGATGGAGCTTGGAGGGATATTTTCATGGATTTTGTGGAAGGTCTATCAAAATCTGAGGGAAAGGGCACTATATTGGTGATTGTTGACAGGTTTAGAAAATGTAGGCAGTTCGTTGCCTTGTCACATCCTTTCTGTGCCAAAGAGGCAGCAAGGCAAGTCATGAAACACATTTATAAGTTCCATGGTTTACTAGGTTCCATTGTCACAAATAGAGACAAGGTTTTCACTAGTCGCTTTTCAAAGGAGTTATTCAATTCCTTAAGCATTCAATTCCTCATGAGCTCAGCATATCACCTTTAAACTGATGGCTAGATAGATAGGTTGAATCAATGTCTAGATACTTACTTGAGGTGTATGTGCCTAGACTACTCAAAGAAGTGGCATTAGTGGCTACACCTTGCCCATTGGTGGTATAATTCGAGCTATCACTCTACCGACGACTCTTTTCCAAGCCTTGCATGGCTATCCACCACCAACAGAAGAGCTTATACTTCTAGGAACCACTGTCATAGCTGCTGTCCAGGAGTTGTTATGGGAGAGAAGGGGACTGGATTTATTCTTACGAGCTCAATTGACCAAAGCTCAGCATTGCATGAATAGCTTTTCAAAGGAGGATAGAGAGGGAATTTGTAGCAGGGGATTAGGTATATTTGAAGTTGCAGCTATATCATCAACTGAATGTTGCGTTGTGAAGAAATTTCAAATGAAATTCTTGATATTATGGTTCTTATAAAATTCTTCAGAGGATTGGTAACGTGGCTTATAAACTACAACTACCACCAGGAGCCCTTATTCATCCTGTATTTCATGTGTCCTTGTTGAAAAGAAAAGTGGAAACTACTATTGTGGTTTCTACAACCTTGTTCATCCTGTATTTCATGTGTCCTTGTTGAAAAGAAAAGTGAGAACTGCTAGTGTGGTTTCCACAACATTACTAGCCTTAGATGCTGATGGTCAATTAAGGCTTTCACCCCAGGCTGCCTTAGACAGAAAACTTATGCAAAGAAATAACCAAGCTGCGGTGATGGGATTGATACAGTGGAAGGGTTTGCCTGTGGAGGATGCTACGTGGGAGTTCTGGAGGAGTTGGAGCTGTAGTTTCCAGAGTTCAACTTTGATCCTTGAGGACAAGGATTTTTTGAAGGAGGGAGTAATGTTATGTTTATGGTTGCTGTTAGGGTTAATAGTTAGTACAATAAATAGCTAATGACATGACATTTAGTTAGGCAATATTAGTTAGTATAATGGTCTTTGATCAGCTGACAATTATGGTTAAATAGTGAAGTCTGAAGAATTAGTTGGATACGAGTAAAAGGGAGAGAGTGAAAGGGAGAGAGAAGGAAAAAAAAGATTCAATCAATTGTTAAGCTGAAAACAGAAATCAAATAGAGATTCTCCTCTCAATCTTCTTCTTCTTCTTCCTCTTTCTCAATCTTCTTCCAGTTCGTCTTTGTTAAGCAATAACACTTAACAGGGTCTAATTACTAAGAGGCAGGAAAAAATGAATGAACTCAACACATGCATGTTCCAGTCATACAAGGGAACAAAATCTACCTCCCTTCGCAACTTCATAATTATTCCTTTGAGAACATGACTTTAGTTTTTCCAAACAAAATTTTGTTCAATTCCAGAATCCGGATCACTATGAGGTTTCGATGGCTCATTTACTGAGTTCAAATGGTATGTCATATATCAGATTAAGTTCATTTTACAAGACCAGAAGGTTGCTGTGTAAGATTCATTTATTCTGAAGTTATCCTTATAAAGAAGTTCCTTTTGTCCTTTACTTATAGCCTGACTATTTTATTGTGAAATTGTTATCTATAACTGGTTGTACAATACAATCTTACAAACAGCAATTATTACTCAATAAAAGGAAAAGGGTCCAGAAATGTGCACTTACAGTCCACTTAAAACTTTTATGGTATCATAGAACAGCCATTGCAGAGTCACAACAGGCCCAACAAGCATTATCCTTATAGGAAGGCTTCTTGTAAATAAGTTGGAAAACCCAATTTTCCTTACAGCCTGCTTATGTGAAAGACAGTTATTTAGTTCATGTTCTGTAACAGAAAAGAGAAGTGCTCTAAAAACATAATTTAAATAAAGGATAATACCAGAATGAGGCTATCAGCCCTTTTGTTATAAAGAGAAGCAACAATGTTATCTGCTGGATTGGAAATAAAGCTACCAACAGAACCAGCAGCATATCCAGCTAAACATGTCACCCCAAGCTGTTGAGCTTTCAAGCAATCCTCTTTCCTTCTTTTAATAACATTATGGTAAAGAAAATCCACGGAATGCTCAAATGTTGAGAACATAACTATAGAAACTGTAGAAAAAGTTTTCACAAGTGTCAGTACTCATACGTTGAGCAACTATAAAGGTCACAAATTTCAGACTACTGTGAGTATTCGTATTTCAAGTTCATACGTACTCAAAAGAAATAACATACATAAAAAAGGCAACAATTAAAGTTAACAAGGGATGCTGTAAATGGTGTGATCAGCAATTAGTCGAAATGAAATTTAGAGTAAATAAAGTTTAAGGTTTGGGCAATTACATGGAAGGTTTCGACCCCAAAGCGGAACAAGCCCTCTGTAAAAACTGCAATCAAGAATAAATTTAACCTTAAAGCACACAAACAATGACACACAAAAGACCTACAAGAATGGAGACATCAGTTATGAATTCCTTACCCACGAATCCCTTCTGATCTATAAACCTTTGGAAACCCATCAGCCAATCCTTTAGCAAAATGGGGCTGTGCTTGAACTCTAACTTTAACAGCTTCGAAAGGGCACAGAGCCAAATTGGCAAAAACTTCAACGGAGGCACTACTCATAAAGAAAATAAAACTCCTGTTGCTATCCACCAGCACATTGGAGTACAAGGTCTTGAAATATTCATATAAACCAAATCTACAACCACCTTGAGCACCATAACCAAAGAACTTCCCTGCCCACCCTCTCCAAAATGCAGAAGGTCCTTGCTCTCTCAATAAAGTAGTAAAACATGAGTATATACTACTGTACTTGATGTGGTTCACCTACCAATTAAAATTAACAAAATAATAATAATAATAAAAAAAAAAAGCACGAATATCTTTTGTTTGATGCCCTCCAAAAGGCAATCAAATTAAGTAATAAACAAGAGACCCATATACAACTTATTCACTTGTTCGAACCTTTCCTATGTTAAATAATAATAATAATAATAAATAAATAAAAATAAAAATTCTTTGGAACCCTATCAACTGAATAAGTTGTTGGTTTTTGTTGACAGGGTTCCAAAGAAGATCTTCTTTTATTTATTTATTTATGGTTTTTTTGGGGATAAAAATCCAACCTCTATGTAAAAACACAAAAAAAAAGAACGAAACTTTAATAGATTCCAGAACAGAAGTAAGCAAGAAATTACCTGCATGTTGACTTTTAAGACATCAAGAGGAGTAATGGCAAGATGGGTAGTTCCAGCACTTAAGATTCCACTAACTGCACAAAGACCATAGTATCCTATTTCTGCTTTGTAGTCCTCTGCTTTCAGTCTCTCTTGATCTTTCACCATAATCATATTAGTAACCTTCTTGTTCTTTACTTGTCTTCTTCAAATGTTAAAGACCAGTTTTTTAGAAAAACAAAAAACCCATTATCATTTGTCTTTCACAGAATCATAATTGGTGTCTGATAGTAGCGGTGGATTTAGCAGGATATATGCTCCCAATTTTTAGGAGAATCTGAAATTAACTCTGTTGAGAATTTAGAAGGGTTTATGCATTTGTCTTATTGGGTCTAAAAGGCCAAAAAAATACATGGGCTAAGCTTTTATTATATTTTAGGGTCAAAAGTGGGCTTTTTATACTTGGACCAAATAAGTTGGCTATTTAAGGATATAAATGGGCAAGATCCGAACTGGCTTTGCCTTCGCCGTACTCTTTCTGAAATGGATTGGGTATCGTGTAACTTTGTCGATTGATAGACGAAGCCCTCGTTTAGTCTTCATCTATTAAAGTTTCACCCTTCAATCAGACTAGTACTATAGATAAATCGGATTTTGATCCAAATTCAATCTAGAATCAAATATAATTAAACAGATACAATAAATATATTTTTTAATTCAAATTTGATTATAATCTGAATTTGTTAACATGTTTATTAAATAGATCATATCCGAATCTACTTTGATCCGATCCGATAATAATTTGATCGAAATTAAAAAATAATATTTTTATAATAAATACAATATTTTAAAATATAAAAATTTTAAATATAAAAAATGTAAATATAAAATTAAGTTGAAATTTGAAGTTTATTTATTATGAAGTTCAAATAACACACATCCTTCCACAACAATTACTTGTATTTTTAAAAAATTATATATAAATTTCTTATCGTTTTTTTTTTAATTTAATTTCATTAAAAAAATTATAAATTGACTTATATACTTTTCCAATAGTTGGTGTTATATTATTTATTATTTATTTATTTTAGTTTTATCATACTTCCTACGTAGCTCAAGATAAACTTTTATTAAAATTATTTAATTTATGCTTTTGAATTGTATGACATTTTGACTTGTTTACAAAATTGTTAGATGAAATTTTATATTAATATATTTTAATATATATATAGTGGTTGAAAATATTTTATATTCAAATAATATTTTAAATATAGTAAGCATAAATTTTCTATAAAAACCAAGTAATAGATCCGATGGAGTTTTGAATTCAATCCGAGCTCGTTAGAATTTGGATTCAAATTCACTTTTGCAAAATCAAATCCAAATTCATAAGATTCAATCTGATCCATTTCATTAAACAAATCATATCTGGATTTACTATTATTCGATTCAAGTCTAACCCGTTGACGAGTTCTACATGTTACCATTAAAACTTATAAATTTTAGAAATTCTATTCTAAAAAAAAAAAGAAAAAAAAAGGGGAGTACATTCCAAGTTTAATTAGTGTCAATCCTTTTTAGAGAACAAAATATGTTTTAATCCCCATCAAAATAATTATTTTGTTAGTGTTTGAGTTTTTTTTTTTTTTTGCCGACATCAACTAAGAGAACTTTGTGATAAAAGAGTTAAAAGAAAGACCGACAAACGAGTTTGTAATGCAATCTATCTTTTAGATTCGTAAGAAGATGAACTAACTTAACTATGCTGAATACACTATTATTGATTCTAATGATGTTTTAGTGTTTTATTTTGAAAATAAGCTAAATTAATTAAGTTGCAATCGGTTTGAAAATAAGCTAGTTGGGCTATAAGTTTTTAAGGATAATAATTCATAACAACGATTAATCTAAAATAAGAATTCAATTTTCTATACTAGTATGCAATCAAAATAAAAAATCTAAACTAAAAACTAAAAGATTAAATGGTCAAAATATTGAGAAATAAGGGTTGCAATTTCAACATAACCTAGAGATTATAGACTTAAAACCTTCAATAACGTTTGAAGAATAATATTGCAATCTTTATAGTGCTTCAATTTTAAAGAAAAAACTTACATTCATAAAGAATGGTGAATATTTATAGATTCGCACCCTAGACATAGTAATTCTTCAAGAAACTAGTGATCATGATGATTGCAAACACGAGATGAGAACTAGGAGCTAGCTACTAGCTTATGAATTATTAGTCTACTTGATTACTTTCTATAAATTACTACCTACTAGCTACAACCTAGTAAGTTTCAAGTATGTTAAAGCTTAGATAAATGCTCCTAGAGTTGTTTGCTATTTGTAAGAGTTTTACTTATGTGTTGCATTATTGTTGTCTTGTTGTTGGCATTTATAGGTTTTTTATTCCTCTATTACTCCTATAGTGGCCCACTTTCTTATACACCTCATCACGTGTTTTATATTGCTCTATATTCTTCCTTAATCATCTTGTTTTGTATTGCAATACACCATGTTTTTTGTTTTGTTATTAATTCTTGTGTTACAATCTCTCACATTCTTGCTAACTATCCGAATCATGCCTTTATTGATGCCGAAATTATGTTATTCTTTACTAACTATTCATTGATTGATTTTGCTACTAAATAAGACTCGTTTATCACCTTTTCTTTTGTGATTTGGTCTTATTAAGAGTCTATGTTTCATATGTCTCTCACTAGCTTATTTTTGCAAGTCCTTTAGTTTATTTGACCTAGGTCGGGCTTACTAGACCATTTGTGGATATTGGGCCTTGCTAGCTAGGAAAGGTTGTTTTGTAAAAAATAACTAATGGGCTTAAGCAAAGCCAACCAACAAGGAGGAGAATAAGAAGAACCTAATGAAGAACTTATTGAGCTTGATCCCTCTATAATTTATTTGGCCATTCCTATTACAATTTTTAATATAACATTTGCCTCATTTTTTTCCTCATATGGATGTCTTTCCCACATATAAAAAGACATAATTCTTTTTTATGCATGTTCATTTTGTTCTTTTAATACTCAAAGTATGCGAATACTTGAAAATTGACTATTGCATTCAAACCTTACATTTTTTTATTCAGCTATGTTGTAACAAAATCAACGTTGCAACTCAAACTTTTCCTTTTATTGATGCAAAATTGTCTCTCTATTTTCTCTAATTTCTAGAGTTTCTTTTTTGACTTACTTTTTTATCAATCCTTCGCAATACAAATGTCCCTAAAAAATCTATTCATGATTCTTCATCTAAGCCTAAGGCTTATAGGTCTTCTCTCTCTATTCAAGCCATCTCTACTTATCACTTTGTAGTTGGGTCGTCTTTTTTGACATAGGACCTTGTAGGTCTAGAATATTACCATCATTGACTTACATTCAAAGTGCAATGAATGTAAGCCAACAAGACACTAATTCTTTTATATGACATTACTAGGTATGGACTACGTTGTGAAAACCTATAAATGATGAATAGGTCCTATGTTTTAGTCGAAAATACACTATAAATTTTTTACGTTTTATCATTTTATTTAGGATGCTTGGACTAAACGAACTGGATCTACGACACTCGATTTTCTCAAATTCCTTTTCTATTAATATGTAGGGATTTATTTATTAATCATCCATTACTTGATACTTGATTTTTCTTTATCCATCTTAATTACCATTTATTGTTATCACTTTCCTTTATTAATTAAGAGATCGGAGTTTATTATTAGCATATACACATGAAGAGTTAAGTAAAAGAAACTAATGCTAACTATGATTATGTCATTTCATTAGTACTATTTTGTTCTAAGTTTTGGTTATATACAATTGCATCTATTTACATGCAAAATAACTTAATACCATATAATACAAAAAATGACTTGTCTACTTATTTACATCACCTTTTCAACAATTGTCCTACTTGTCCATAGCTTTAACTATTGTGTAAAATAGACCTGTCATTCCTAGTACATAAACCATAAGATCGAGCATTAAGAAAGTGGTTACTTGAAGGAGGTCCACTTTACTATCGAAGCCACGTCTAAAATACATACGACATATGGATCCCTTAGTAATCACTTCACATGACAACATTGCCCTTTTTACCTATAATATCGACACCACAAGAAACTAAGTGAGCAATAACTCGGTAAGTTAATCTATGCATGATATGCATGTAAATGAAATGCTTATGATAATTATTTGTGTGTTCGTTATAAAATTCATAAAATCCTCATCATGAACAGTTTGAAAATTCGTTTCTATCATTGGACATGTCCCATTATAGGAATTTCAAGATTTCCATGAGATGTATGGTGAACCAAACCAGTCTGTGACGCTCCTTGTTGAGCCTTGGTACACGTTTGCACCATATGACCCATGTAAACCATGAACCATGAATCATGAATCATGAAGGTCATGAAACCCATAAAGCCCTGTCATAAAACTATGAAAACCAATACCATGGAAGTCATGAAAGTCATGTAATCATGAAATATTTTCAATTTCTATTGGAAAATTCCTTGAAATAAAATCATTTTTTCATGACTTTAAAACCTTTCCACAAAATCCTTTTCATGAATTGGTAAGCATATGCATTTTAATGCATTATGCTTATGCACCATGTTTCACATATTAATTAAATACCATAAATGGGGTGCATTTAATTCATAATAAAACCATTATCAATAATATGAAAATACATCATCATTTATATCTTACCCTGTCAAATAAAACTCATCATTTACCATACACATTTAAAACAAAAATCCATCATCACAAAACATTATATCCAAAATTCACATTACGATTAAATAAGAGTACGTTACAATATATGTTTAGACATTATAAAAACATCCACAAACATATTCAAACATACCATGGTCATCACATTTAACATTTTTGGGCATCAATATCACACCAATTTCATCATAACAACATCAATTACACAATCACACAACAAATTGCATCAAGAACCCTAAATTATGCCTAATGCGTCGCTGAAGCCCTAATTAAGGTAATCTAGGTTAAATTTTCAATTTCAACGTAATTCCTCTTTCTAATTCCTCTTTTTACAGTATTATAACTTCAAATTAATGAATTAAGTCATTATTAACTAAACATAATCAAATCCTAATTTCTTCCCTAATTGGGTCGAAT